ATAAGACGGGGATGGTCCAGCACCCAGTCTCACTCTAACCGGGGAAGTAATAGAGCAAGTGAACAAGTTTTGTTATTTGGGAAGCTGTATCTTACCTGGCAGACGCGTCACAGATGACGTGTAGGAGCGCATACAGAAGGCTCACTTGGCATTAGCCAACTAGAAACATCTGAGGCGCCGTCGCGACATCCGAATGTCTGTGAAGGCTTGAGCATATGTCTGCACAAGTTTGGTGGGGTACTGGATGAGCGACAATCTATGCTTATCCTGTTCCGGTAATGGCCAAGTCTCGGCACCATAGAGCAGGACTGGCCGAACTGCTGCAGCATACACTCGACCCTTCACAGACATCCGGATGTCGCGACGGCGCCACAAATGTCTCAAGTTGGCAAATGCCACTCGAACCTTTTGTATGCGCGCCGACACTTCATCTGTGATGCGTCCGCCAGGTGAGATATAGCTGCCTAGATAGCAAAATTTGTCTACTTCCTCTACTACTTCCCCAGTTAGAGTGAGACTGGGTGCTGGATCAACCCAATCTTGTAGTAGCATTTTGCACTTTGAAGGTGCAAAACGCATACCGAACATGGCAACACTAGCACTCAAACTATCCAGAAAAGCTTGCAACTTACCTGAATAGGAGTATGGGTCACATAGATCTCGTTAGGTTACCTGGATGGGGACCGCGAGATCATGGTTACCGGTGGTTAGAGATACTGAGCGTTATGGCTGGGTGTCGCAAACAGTGGTGCTCATGCATCTACTCATTATTCATGCAACCTCAGTCTACAAGAATTCTCCTCTATTTTCCCTTTGAATCTGCTATCAACAATCCAATCTTCAATCCGCTGTTTTATGCAAATGGGCAGCCAAAAGATAGCAACTAAAACCGGAGCACGAAAATGCGTGGTTAATGGTTGTAAACACTGAAGTGAAACGCGCGGAAAGCACAAATAGTGAAGCGACTTGATAGAAAAACAATGAACGCTTGTGTGGCGGGGCCTTCGAATTTCGGCCGTGCTACATTTTTGTGCTCCAGTGAACAATTTATCAACTTTTACATCACACATTGGATTTATTCGTTTGAATCAAGTTTTCTTTCATCACTTTTATGATTACGTACGCCCCGGAATCTTTAAAGAATTTGCAACATTATGTGTTATCGCACAAGAGAGGCATTCTCCATCAGTTCAGTCATAAAGTTAAAAATAGATACAAAAGATGCAGACCGTCTAGATTAGGTTTCCTCAGAAAACACCGAGCAGGCTGGCAAGTGACCTTACGTAACACAAAACCTCAGAAAATGTCAATCCCTGCCATTTGTTCATCAAACGTATGATCACTATTTGGCAAAATGAGCGACTTCACGAAACTGATAAGGACGAAAAAATACTATGCATCGGGGATAGTTATGCTGCAAGAAACGTGGTTGCATCCTGACATCAACGACTCTTTGGTTGAGCTGGATCTATTTGATATGCATCGTTTGGATAGAGACTGTTTACTACGAAATCGAAGCGGTGGTCTATTAACGTACACCAAATCGTCTTGGTGTAAGTCTACAAAGATTATCTTCACTTACAACGTAGAATATATCTCATGTCTTTCGGTTGAATGTAAACCCCATTTCCTTAGTAAATATCGCTCCCTCGTTGCATCGAACATTTACATAGCACCTTACAGTGCAACTTCTGATGTACAGACGTTTGCTGATGTATTTATATCCGAACTTTCTAACTACACTGAACGCTCTCTTTTTATTGTTAGTGGCGATTTTAACAATGCAGATATTCATTTCTTGACACGTCTCTCTCCCCACAATATTGCAAATTTCTCCACAAGAGGAAACGCGCGGCTTGATCTTATGTTTTTGAACGATCCTGACCTGTTTGCTGAGTAAATAGGAGCTCCACTGGCAAACTCCGATCATTGTATTATCAATGTTTTACCAAAAGTCTATTCAAAGAAACATCATAGCAAGTACATCAAGCCAGAAGATTTTCTCATAGGTTGTGTTGACCCGGTCCACTTGGTGTCACTGAGAGAAATGGTATCTGGTACAAATTTCGATCAGTTCTTTGATACCAGTGTCTCGATAGTGTGAACATCTCACGAGCTATTTGAACTTCTGCTTTGACATCTGCTGCCCCATATCCCCTATATAAATCAGTCCCGCCAGATTTTCTTCTCCCACTTTGAAGACCCTCAGAAGAACCAAGGAATGGGCATATAAAACTATGATCGACCTTTAGCTAAACGAACGTCAGTGCTGATCAAGAATGAGATCTAAAATCTTGACCAACTCTACACTGAAGCTCTTCTTGGAGACCGAATTTGCAAGCAAATCTGGAGCGCTATGAAAAAACTTTGTGGAACAAAAATCAGACTACGAGGGCCCCAACCCACAGCAGATTAACGCAACAGCATGTTTTCCACGTCGACTGAAACGGAAGTATTGCATCTTTATTTCCAATCAGTTGACCATTGTGAAATTTCACGTGTCAATTCTAATCAGGTGCGTGCACAGCTGAAGTGCCTAAAAATATCAAAAGCTTCCGGTCCTGATGTACTATGTCCAGTCGTCCTCAGGGAATGTGCGCATTATCTGGCGGAGCCACTTGCCGGTATTTTCAAACGTTGCTTCAAGGAACAAAAAGCTGACGACTGCTGGAGACCTGTGCGCATCACACCAGTCTCCGAAAAAGCTGGCAAACTACGACCAATCGCGTGCACTTCTATTTTACTAAACATTTTCGAAAAGTTTATGCTCAGTAACATTATTCCTAATACTGGGCAGCTAGATGACAACCAATTCGCTTATCGCAAACAACTTTCTACCTTAGATGCTCTCGCTCGTTTGGTAAACTCAGTTTTAAGATCCCTAGACATGCACGGCAGGGCTTTTCGTGTGTTTCCTCGACTACGGTAATGCTCTTAACTGTGTTGCTAGGTGCAGGCTTTTGTCTCTACTCCAAGGTGCTGGATTGTCCAATAATACTCTCTCAACTCCAAGATTATTTTGCTGGCAGAACGCAATTCACAAAGTTTCTTGGAAAAACCGCTGATTCCCTACCAGTCAACTCAGGGGTGCTCCAGGGAGCAATTCTGTCCCCCTTGCTTTTCTCTTTCTATATTCGTGACCTTCCCACTAACCCAAATGATCTTATTAAGTATGCTGATGATAGCACAACTGGTTCCAAATTCCAAGGTGATTTCCGCTTCTCACATCTTCAAACCAGTGTATCTGCCTTAAACTTATGGTCTTCATCTTCCAAGTTATCTCTCAATGCATCTGAATGTAGCGATGTCACCTTTTCGCTCGTCAAAGGAGAACGGCTACATTCTTTTGCAAGAAATTGTTCTACACTCTATGTTGACAACCAGCCTGTTCCATCAGTAAACTCTCTACAATACCTCGGTGTCACTACCTACCGAGATCTCACTTGAACCTCACACTTAACTTCTACTTTTGTAAAGATTCAACGGTTGTGTTTCTTTATTACCCGCTTGCGTTCTTTGAAAGTTCCATTGTATTCACTAACCCAATTTGTATATTCTTGTGTTGTTACTCATCTTCTCTACTGTTCCCCATTTTTATTGGCCAGTCTTAGAGCTAAAGATTACACAAT